ACTCCAGGTATCTCTTGACTTCCTGCTTTTGCTTTCCAGCCCCCTATAATGAAAAGGACATCTTTTTTGGGTGTTAGTTCTAGAAGGTCTTGTAGGTCTTCATAGAACCATTCAACGTCAGCATTACTGGTTGGGGCATAGATTTGGAGTACCGTGATATTGAATGGTTTGCCTTGGAAACAAACAGAGATCATTCTGTTGCTTTTGAGATTGCATCCAAGTACTGCATTTCAGACTCTGTTGACCATGATGGCTACTCCCTTTCTTCTAAGGGATTCCTGCCCACAGTAGTAGATATAATGGTCATCTGAGTTAAATTCACCCATTCCAGTCCATCTTAGTTCACTGATTCCTAAACTGTTGATGTTCACTCTTGCCATCTACTGTTTGAACTCTTCCAATTTGCCTTGATTTATGGACGTAACATTCCAGGTTCCTATGCAGTATTGCTCTTTACAGCTTTGGACTTTGCTTCTGTCACCAGTCCCATCCACAGCTGGGTGTTTTTTTTGCTTTGGCTCCATCTCTTCATTCTTTCTGAAGTTATTTCTCCACTGATCTCCAGTAGCATATTGGGCATCTACTGACCTGGGGAGTTCATCTTTCAGTGTCCTATCTTTTTGCCTTTTCATACTGTTCATGGGGTTCTCAAGGCAAGAATACTGAAGTGGTTCACCACTCCCTTCTCCAGTGAACCACATCTTTTCAGATCTCTACACCATGACCTATCCATCTTGGGTAGCCCTATATGGCATGGCTCATAGTTTCATTGCGTTAGACAGGGCTGTGGTCCATGTGATCAGTTTGGTTAGTTTTCTGTGACTGTGGTTTTCAGTCTCTGCCCGCTGATGGAGAAGGATAAGAGGCTTATGGAGGTTTCCTGATGGGAGAGACTGACCTGAGGGGTTAACTGGTTCTTGTTCTGATGGGTGGGACCATGCTCAGTAAATCTTTAATCCAATTTTTGTCTCCTTAGGTAGGTTTATTCCTAGGTATTTTATTATTATTGTTGCAGTGGTAAATATGTTTAATTCCTTAATTTCTCTTTCTGATTTTTCATTGCTCATATATAGGAATTCAAGTGATTGCTGTGTATTGATTTTTTTATCCTGTGACTAATAAATTCACTGATTAGCTCTAGTAAATTTGTGATAGTATCTTTAAGAGTTTTTCATGTACAGTATCAATGTCATCTGCAAATAGTGAGTTTTTCTTCTTCCTTTCCAATCTGGATTCCTTTTACTTCTCTTTCTTCTCTGATTGCCATAGCTAGGCCTTTCAAAACTGTGTTGAATAATAGTGGTTAGAATGGGCACCCTTGTCTTGCTCCTGATCCTGGAGGGCATGCTTTCAGTTTTCACTGTTAAGATTATGTTTGCTGTGGGTTTGTTATGAATGGCCTTTATTATGTTAAGGTAGGTTCTGTCTGTGCCCATGTTTTGAACAGCTTTCATCATCAATGTGTGCTTCGTGATTCTCTGAGCCTCTGTTGTTGTTAGTCAGTTGCTAAGTCTGTCTGACTCTTTGTGATCCCATGGACTGCCACAAGCCAGGCTTCCCTGTCCTTCACTGTCTCCCGGAGTTTGCTTAAACTCATGTGCATTGAGTTGGTAATGCCATCCAACCATCTTATCCTCTGTCGTCCCCTTCTTCTCTTGCTCTCAATGATTCCTAGTATCAGAATCTTTTCCAGTGAGTCTTATCTGCATCAAATGGCCAAAGTATTGGAGCATCAGCATCAGTCCTTCCAATGAATATTCAGGGTTGATTTATTTCCTTTAGGATTGACTGGCTTGATCTCCTTGCTGTCCAAGGGTCTCTCATTCGTCTACTCTAGCACCTCAGCTCGAAAGCATCAATTCTTTGGCGCTCAACCTTTATGGTCCAACTTTCAATCCATCCATGACTACTGGAAAAACCATACCTTTGGCCATACAGACCTTTGTTGGCAAAGTGCTGTCTCTGCTTTTTTAATACTCTAAGTTTCTCATAGCTTTTCTTCCAAGGAGCAAGTGTCTTTTAATTTCATGGCTGCGGTCCCCATCCACAGTGATTTTGGAGCCCCCAAAATAAAGTCTTTCACTGTTTCCTTTTTTTTCCCATCTGTTTGCCATGAAGTGAGGGAACCAGATGCCATGATCTTAGTTTTTGAATGTTGTTTTCACCTTCATCAAGAGGCTTTTTAGCTCCTCTTCACTTTCTGCCATTAGGGTGGTGTTATCTACATATTTGAGGTTGTTGATATTTCTCCCAGAAATCTTGATTCCAGCTTGGAATTCATCAAGCCCGGCATTTCACATGTGTATTCTGCACATAAGTTAAATAAGCAGGGTGGCAGTATACAGCCTTGATATACTTCTTTCCCGAGGTTGAAGCAATCCATCATTCCATGTCTAGTTATAACTGTTGTTTCTTGGCGTGCATACACATTTCTCAGGCGGCAGGTCAGGTGGTCTGGTATTCCCATCTCTTTAAGAATTTTCCAGTTTGCTGTGATTCACACAGTCAAAGGCTTTAGCACAGTCAGTGAAACAGAAGTAGATGTTTTTCTCGAATTCTTTTGCTTTTTCTGTGATCCAGCAGATGTTGGCAACTTGACTTCTGGTTCCTCTGCCTTCCCTAAATCCAGCTTGTACATCTGGAATTTCTTGGTTCACATACTGTTGAAGCCTAGCTTGAAGCATTTTGAGCATTACCTTGCTAGCATGTGAAATGAGTGCAGTTGTGTGGTAGTGTGAACATTCTTTGGCATTGTCCTTCTTTGTGATTGGCATGAAAACTGAACTTTTCTAGTTCTGTGGCCACTGCTGACTTTTCCAAATTTGCTGGCATAGTGAGTGCAGCACTTTCACATCATCATCTTTTAGGATTTGAAATAGCTCAGCTGGAATTCCATCACCTCCACTAGCTTTGTTCATAGTGATGCTTTCTAAGGCCCACTTGACTTTACTCTCTAGGATATTGGCTCTAAATGAGTTACCACATGATCGTGATTGTCTGGTATTTAAGACCTTTTTAGTACAGTTCTGTGTATTTTTGCCACCTCTTCTTAATATCTCCTGCTTCTGTTAGGTCCATACCGTTTCTGTCCTTTATTGTGCCCATTTTTGCATAAAATGTTCCCTTGGTATCTCTAATTTTCTTAAAAATATCTCTAGTCTTTCCCATTCTGTTTGCCTCTATTTCTTTGCAGCATTCACTTAGGAAGTTTTTCTTCTCTCTCCTTGCTGTTCTTTGGGACTCTGCATTCAGGTAGGTATATCTTTCCTTTTCTCCTTTGCCTTTCATTTCTCTTCTTTTCTCAGCTATTTGTAAGGCCTCCTCAGACAACCATTTTTTGCCTTTTTGCATTTTATTTTCTTGGTGATGGTTTTGTCACCATCTCCTGTGCAGTGTTACAAATCTCTGTCCATAGTTCTTCAGGCACTCTATCAGATCTAATCCCTTGAATCTATTTGTCACTTCTACTGTATAAGCGATTTACATTATAAGGGATTTACATCATAAGGATTTGATTTAGGTCATACCTGAGGGACCTTGTGGTTTTACCCACTTTCTTCATTTTAAGTCTGAATTTTGCAATAAGGAGCTCATGATCTGGGCCACAGTCAGCACCAGGTCTTGTTTTTGCTGCCTGTACAGAGCTACTCCATCTTTGGCTACAAAGAATATAATCAGTCTGATTTCAGTGTTGACCATGTGGTGATGGTGTCCATGTGTAGCCTCCTCTCTTGCTTTGTTGGAAGAGGGTATTTGCTGTGAGCAGTGTGTTCTCCTGGGAAAACTGTTACCCTTTGCCCTGCTTCATATTGGGATGAGACTTGCACGCCTGGGAGGAAGTTGTGAAAGAGGGAAACTTCCTACATCCTCGAAAGCTTCTTCACAGGTCGGGAGATCAGCTGGGACAGAAAGCAAGCTTTAGAGGCTAGTATCACCGGATCTGATTCTGTCACAGCTGATCTCAGGATTAGGAACCTTTCCTCTTTACAACTTCCTCCCAGGTTGGCAAGTACCATCCCAGTTTCTTTTTTTTTTTTTTTCTGGTCCTACCTGGTTATGTGGAGATCTTTCGTATAATTTGGGGTATTTGGCATAATCTACCAGCATTCTAAGAATTCTGTGAGAAGTGTTCAAGATGTAGGCGAATTTTTGATAGGCTTGTTGGAGAGAGTGAGCTCCATGTCCTTCTATTCTGCCATCCGGATTGGTGTCCCCTAGAAATCCCTTTTTAAAAATTGATTCTCCTATAACAAAGTTTCTAAAGTATACTTCTGACTTTTGTTTTGAAGCTGCCTTGATTTTATTTATTTCTATAATCTTCTGATTCAGTAAGTAAAAGATATTTATGACAAACTTATTCTGATCTGCTTCATTGAAAAAGTCAATAAGTGTTAAGATTAGGTGAGCTAACCATATATTATTGGGTTTAAAAATCACTATATCAGTTATTTAAGAATGTGTGATAATTTGGATTTTTTTGGCCTATGGCTTATTTAAGGTAGTTTTCTGAAATAATTTTGTAATATGGAAAGCTTTCTTTCTGATTCACTAGTCTTCTGTTTTTTTCTTTGGCTGTATATAAACTATTTAGAAAGCTGCTTTATTTACAGATTTTTTAAGTGTTACACACATGTTCTAAACATTAGTTATTTTTCTTGTATAAAGTGGGATAGCCTACCCTACTTGTATCTCAAGGCTTCCCTGATGGCTTAGTGATAAAGAATCTGCCTGCCAGTGCAGGAGACGTGGATTTAATCCCTTGTCCAGCAAGATCCACTGGAGAAGGAAATGGCAACCTCCTCCAGTTTCTTTCCTGGGATATCCCATGTACAGAGGAGCCTGGTGGGCTACAGTCCATGGGGTCACAAAGAGTCAGATACTGAGCAATGACAGCAAAACTTGCATTTCACTTGTGAGAATTTAACTTTATAGAATCCTTTATAAAGGATTATTGACGTGAATAGTATTCTATAAGAGTCAAATTGTTTTTGTTATGATAGGTGTGTTAGAAGAAGCAAGATTTTTTGGTATTGACTCATTGATTGAACACCTGGAAGTGGCAATAAAGGTAAGTTTCTTTTTACATTAGCCAAATAATATATTTATTGTAACTGTCTCCCAGAATTCTCCACTAATTTGTCAATATGTCTTCAAGAATTCACAACCACCAGAGGATCATTCACCCATATCTCGAAAGGAATTTGTCCGGTTTCTGCTCGCCACTCCAACCAAATCAGAATTGCGTTGCCAGGTAGTTGAAGCAGATTTTACATGAGTTATTTGTGTCAGCAAGTCTGTGAGGGAAGTTTTAAATTCTTCTAGGAATTTTTTTCTTGCCTAATTTTCTTTTTTCATGCAAGATATATCTTAATTATGGGTCATAGCATTGAGTTAGTCCTAAAATGGTTAGCATAAAAAAGAGATGTAATAATCTTTTACTGTTTAATTATGCCTCATACAGCAGATTTTGGTAGCACGTAGAAATTGCAACAATTAAAAAGTCAATTATTTGTACAGCTGTTATGTATGAACAGTTAGTGGCAATGGAAGATACTTACACTTTTATGTGTTATAGCAATAACAATTTTAAAAACTGCAATACTCATTTTTAACAATATAATGTTCTTGAATTATAGAATTAATAAAATAAGTACAATTTATTAAAAATAGTGATCAACAGGTGCATGACCAGCAGAGATCTATCTTTTTAGCAACTTCTGCACATAAATGAGGCATAGCCAGGATGCATTCTAATGTTATGTAAATCGAGTGACTTTTAAGAATCCATTAAGGATACTGATTTTATATATCTGAGTTCCATTTGATCATGTTTTGTAATAGACTCCAAGTGACTGACCTGCCAATTACTTCTATAAACCACGGTGCTTAGCTATTGTGATTAAATTGAATACAACAGATGGTTTATATCTTGTGACCATTTGTGTTTTTAATTTTAGGGTTTAAACTTCAGTGGTGCTGATCTTTCTCGATTGGACCTGCGATACATTAACTTCAAAATGGCCAATTTAAGTCGCTGCAATCTTGCGCACGCCAATCTCTGCTGTGCAAATCTAGAACGAGCTGATCTCTCTGGATCAGTCCTTGATGTAAGAATCATCTTTGGTTACAAGAGAAAATTAAATTTTTAGTCTATTGAACACTCTCGAAGAGCACAGATTACATCTCTCTTAATGAAGCTTTTACATCAGTTTACTAGGTTGATGATAAAACTTAAGGTTCTGAAAGTGAAATGGGTTGGTTTTGCAACTTTGATATGCTTTATTAAATATCCACCTATAAAGTATAGCAACTGATAAGAAATTAAATCTTGAAATTAGATACTGATCTCCTTAACACATTATCAGAATTTCTGTTTTCTGTGAATTAATAGGGTAAAGCTGGAGAGGACCTTGGAAATTTTCTCTTCCACATAATTTCTGGAATAGGAAAATGTTATTTCTCTGGGGGTATTTGACAGATATTTTAAAACAAACGTAGTATGCAGCAATCTGTAAGTTAACATCTTGGTGTGTTTACAAGTATTAATGTGTGTGTGTATGTATGTGTGTATCCATATGTGTATGCATGCATTTATATAACAGATAACCTATTTGAGGTTAGAGGATATATGTAAAACCAACAGTGAAATGTAACTTCTAAGAACTTTAAGTTGCTTAATATCAAGGTCCATGTCTGTGTGGAGTAGCCGTTCCCTTTTCTCCACGGGATCTTCCCCACCCAGGGATCGAACCCAGGTCTCCTGCATTGCAGGCACATTCTTTACCAGCTGAGCCACCAGGGAAGCCCAGGAACACTGGAGTGGGTGGCCCATCCCTTCTGCAGCAGATCTTCTCAACCCAGGAATTGAACTGGGGTCTCCTGCATTGCAGGTGGATTCTTTACCACCTGAGCTACCAGGAAAGCCCTTTCAATTAATAAGACCTAATATATTAACTTGCTTGTAGTAGTCATTGAATCAGTGTTTATTGAATTTTATAATTTTGGCTTTATTCCTTAGTTGCAAGGTATTTTTCTATGAAACTTAGATCTAATAACAAAATCTGCTAACACACATTTCCATTATTTTTACCGTACTTGTTCCATGTTATGATGGAGGATCAAACTGAAAAGCAACATGAGTGAAACACTAACATTACACAGGGAAGGTTTGAAGGACCTAGCTTTTAAATTCTGAAATGCTGAGAGACAGTTTGGTTGGTTTCTGTTAGGGAATAGGGAAAAAGGTAGACTGGATCATTGAATATAACTGGTTCGCTATTTTGTTTAATTATAGCATTACTGTGAGCCTGAACCATAATTTTCTTCTCTTTAAATGCTTGTTCTCCCCATACTGTGTCATTGATACGAAGGCTAATATACCTATTTATCATTTGTATATAATGTTCTTATTTAAATGTAGTTGATTTACAGTATCATTTGGCATTCAGGTATACAGTACAGCAATTCAGTTACATATACATACATGTGTATGTGTGTATGCATACATATACATACAGTTCTCTTCAGAGTCTCTCCCCTTAGAGGTTATTATAAACTGTTGACTACAGTTTCCTTTGCTACACAGTAGGTCCTTGTTGGTTATTTTGTATATAGTAGTGTGTATATGTTAATCCCAACCTGCTAGTTTATCCCTCCTCCATCCCATTTTGCCTGTAGGTAACCACAGGTTTGTTTTCTATGTCTGAGTCCCTTCATGTGTAGGAAACAAGTTCATTTCTTTCTCTCCCCTTTTTTTTTTTTGAGCTTCCACATATAAGCAATATCATACATATTTATCTTTGTCTGGTTTACTTCATTTAGTATGATAATCTCTAGATCCATCTATATTATTGGAAATGGCATTTTAAAATTCTTTTTATGGCTGAATAATATTCCACTTTGTCTATGTGTCTGTATATACCATAGTTTCTCTATTTGTTCATCTCTCAGTAAACACTTAGGTTGCTTCCATGTCTTGGCTATTGTAAATAGTGCCTCTGTGAATACTGGGGTGCATTTATATTTCTGAATTATAGTTTTCTTCAGATATATGCCCAGGAGTGGGATTGCAGGATTTTATGTAGCTCTATTTTTAGTTTTCTAAGGAACCTCCACATTGTTCTCCATAGTGGCTGTACCAGTTTATAATCCCAGCAGTGTAGGAGAGCTCCCTTTAATCCATACTCTCAACCAGCATTTATTATTTGTAGATTTTTTGATGGATGATGGCCATTCTGAGTGGTATGAAGTGATACCTCATTGTACTTTTGATTTGAGGTTCTCTAATAATTAGCAGTGTTGAGCATCTTTTCATGTACCTGTTTGCCATCTGTATGTCTTCTTTGGAGAAATATCTGTTTAGCCCTTCTGCCCATTTTATGATTGGGCTGCATGAGCTGTTTCTATATTTTGGAGACTAAGACCTTGGGGGCTGCATGGTTTGCAGATGTTTCCTCCCATTTTATAGCTTGTCTTTTCATTTTGTGTATGGTTTCCTTTGCTGTCCAAAAGCTTTTAATTAAGTCCCACTTGTTTATTTTTGTTTTTATTTTCATCATTCTATTCACTTGGAAGTGAATCCAAAAAGATTCTGACACAATTTATATACAAGGGTGTTATGTCTGTGTTTTCCTCTAGGAGTTTTATAGCATCCAGTTCTACATTTAGGTCTTTAATTGATTTGGGGTTTAGTTTTGTGTGTGATGTTAGATACTGTTCTAATTTCCTTCTTATGTAGTTTTCCAGTTTTCCCAGTACCACATGTTGAAGACTCTTTTTTTCTTCACTGTATATTCTTGCCCTTTTATCATACATTATTGACAATAGGTGTGGGTTTATTTCTGGATTTTCTATTCCATTGATGTATATTTCTGTTTTTGTGCCAGCACAATACTGTTTTGATTACTGTGGTCAGGGAGCATGATTCCTCCAGCTCCAGTTTCTTTCTCAATATCTTTGTTGTTGTTGTTCAGTTGCTCAGTAGCATCTTAAATCTATGTGACCCCCATGGACTGCAGCACACCAGGCTTTCCTGTCCTTCATTATCTCCCAGAGTTTGAGCAAACTCATATCCATTGAGTTGGTGATGCCATCGAACGATCTCATCCTCTGTTGCCCCCTTCTCTGCCTGCCTTTAGTCTTTCCCAGCATCAGGGTCTTTTCCAGTGAGTCAGCTCATCACATCAGGTGGCCAAAGTATTGGAGCTTCGGCTTCAGTATCAGTCCTTTTGATGAATATTCAGGGTTTATTTCCTTTAGGATTGACTGGTTTGATCTCCTTGCTGTCCAAGGGACTGTCAAGAGTTTTATCCAGCACCACAGTTCCAAAAGCATCAGTTCTTCTGTGCTCAGCCTTCTCTATGGTCCAACTCTCACATCCAGACATGACTACTGAAGAAACCATAGTTTTTATTGAATTGGGCCTTTGTGGGCAAAGTGATGTCTCTGCTTTTCAATATGTTGTCTAGGTTTTTCCATAGCTTTTCTTATAAGAAGCAAGCGTCTTTTAATTTCATGCAAACAAACACAAAATCTAATCTAATCAGGAACAGAATGGTTGCTCTCAACACTGATGCTTCTCTGATGTACACCTTGATACAGAGACAGACCTTCAGTTTGCTTGATACTACACTTTGATCTTTTCATCTTCCCTGAGAAATCTCAGCCCCCCTGTATTTGACCCCTCATCCCAAGCACCACTCTTTTCCAACATTCTTTCTGCCCTAAGTCCAACCTCTTTGGTTAAATGTTTGCAGAGACAAAAACATGGAAATGTCTCACTTTGGTTGCTTTCTTAGTTTCCTTCATCAAGGTTAAGATTAAAACCTCTATCATCTTGTTTCCTTCTGTCCTTGATAGTACCAAAATAGATAGATTCCACTAGTTTTTATGCTAGTCTTCCAAGTGAATCATAACCCAGTAATTCCCTTGTCTGAACATCTTTCTGTTTATTCATTCTGTCCTCTTGTTTCTTCTACATGTTTGTGAACACAGCAGAAATATTTGAGATAAATATACAGGAGTGATAGAGCTATGTAGAAATGCATGTATCTTGTTTCCACAGCAGATTCTCACTTGACTTAGAATAAAATTCAAGCTCTCCTGACCAAGGTGCTCACAGACCTTCGTAAACTGGTACCCACTGCATCACTGAGAATGATCCACATGATCATTCTGGACATGTTCCCTTCACTAACTGCATCCTGGATAGAGGACTGCCCTTCCAGCTAACCAAACAGCTATAGCAAGAATCAATCTGCTTACCTAGCAGGGGCTACATTGGAACTCCCAACATTCCCAGGAACTCTCCTGGTCTTGAGAGATTGTTTTATTATCATAACTTGGTCAGAGAAAGTGGACTCTTTGGGTCTCCAGTTCTATAAGGCCTTGTCACCTAGCATATCATATTTGGGTACCAGGAGAGTGTTAGTAGGCTATTCATTGGGTTATCTCAGTTTACTTACAAAATTGTAAAGATACACAATACTTACATGCTACTATACATAAATCATATAAGCAAGGTCCTACTGTAAATCACGGGAACTATATTCAGTACTAATTTCATGGCTGCAGTCACCATCTGCAGTGGTTTTGGAGCCCAAGGAAATAAAGTCTATCACTGTTGCCATTTTTTCTCCATCTATTTGCCATGAAGTGATGGGAGTGAATGCCATGATCTTAGTTTTTGAATGTTGAGTTTCAAACCAGCTTTTTGCTTTTATCTTTCACCTTCATCAAGAGGCTTTTTAGTCCCTCTTAGCTTTCTGCCTTTAGGGTAGTGTTATTGGCATATCTGAGTTTATTGATATTTCTCCTAGCAATCTTGATTCCAGCTTGTGATTCATCCAGCCCAGCATTTTGCATGATGTACTCTGCATATAAGTTAAATAAGAAGAATGACAATACACAGCCTTGAGATACTTCTCGCCGAATTTTGAACCAGTCTGTTGTACCATGTTGGTTCTAACTGTTGCTTCTTGACCTGTACAAGGTTTGTCAGCAGGCAGGTAAGGGGTCTAGTATTCCCACCTCTTGAAGAATTCCAAAGTTTGTTGCGATCCACACAGTCAAAGGCTTTAGCATAGTAAATGAAGTAGAAGTATATGTT